TTTACATTACATAAGACGTTTAAACTTTCTTGCCAATTTAGTTGAATTTAAGATGAAGGGTATCACATTTGTGCTGTAGTGCAGCAATTGTTTTAAGGGGTAACAGAGGGACAAGTGCCTAAGCTTTGTTGGCACTCCTTCACAGCCAATGCCTTCTACAACTGGCAAACTATCAACTAGCTAAGACAGTGGTCATACCAAAGTCAACACTGTAAAATAATTCATTGCATATTAAGATAACAACCTACACTATCATGGAATAATACCAATCCCACTTCCCTCTCCAGTCTGGAAAAACTTTGATATTTTCCCCATCCAAGTACTCACAGATTATGATCAAAACACCGCTTTACCTATTCCTTTGTAAAAAACTAACTAACTAGAGTCTTTCATCTCTGTAAAGCAGGCTCTCCAGACCTTTAATAGTTCTTGTAGCTTTTTTCTGAACCTTTTCCAGATTGTCAACCTCAATTTTAATAGTGTGGACACCATGTTCCAATAATATTCTCACTGATACCATATATAGTGGTAATACTATCTTCCTGCTTCAACTTGATATCCTCCTCCTTATACATCCAAGGACTGAATTTGCTCTCTTAGCCATCAGTTGATTATCCACCATGAGCCCTAAATCCTTTTCTGAATCACTGCTATCTAAAATAATCCCTCATCCTATAAGTGTGATGTGTATGTCTGCATTTAGCAGTATTAATACACATTAGGCTCAAGTGAGCCCAGACTACCATGCGATCCAGAGTGCTCTGTATAATTGACCTGTCCTTACAATTATTTATCACTTCACCAATCTGTATCATCTGCAAACTTTACTAGCAGTGATTTTGTTTTCTTCTAGTTGATTGATAAAGATATTGAATACCATCAGATCAAGAACAGACCCCTTGAGGGACAGTTGTGAAATGGTACCAGTGACTGACGGCTGCCCATTTGCAATTACTTTTTGAGATCTATTCAGTTAGCCAATTTTTAATCCACTGTGTGTTTTGTATAGTGCTTTTTTATTTTCATTTTAAAAACAATGTCATGTGATACTAAGTCAAAAGCCTCATTGAAGTTTAAGTGCATTACGCTAATAGTTACTTTTGCCGATGAAACTTCTCCTCTCATCAAAAAACTGTATCAAGCTTATTTTGACAAGACTTACTTTCCTTAAATCCACGTTGATTTGCATAAGTTACGCTGCCATGTTTTATTTATTTTTTCTAATCCTGTGCCACTCTCACCATGATTTTTTCTGGGATCAGTGTCAAGGAAGTTGGTCTATAATTACCAGAATCATCCCATGAACCCTTTTAAAATATTGCCATCATTTCAGCTTCTTCCAGTCCTCTGGAGCTTTCCCAGTATTCCGAGATTTGTTAAATATCAATATCAATGGCTCAGAGTGTGATTTCACAGATTTTAAAGTCTTGGATGGTAATTATATGGTTCTACAAGTTAAAAGATGTTTAAACTGTGGCAGTTTCTGTTTAACATCCTCCCAAGTTACTGCTGGAAGAGAAAAATATTTCTTTATCACCAAACTGTTGTTAAACTGTCCAGCTTCTTTCCAAATACAGAACAGAAATATTTATTAAACACTTCTATTTGTGTTCTATTATTGACTATTTTAACATCCTTATCTGTAACAGACACATACTATTGTTGGTATTTCTTTTGTTCCTCATATTAAAAACATTCTATTTTACTGTCCCCTTAATCTTACTGGCCATATATTTAAAAAACTATAAACTAATGTCTTTAGCTTTCCTTATCAACTGGCTACATTTAATGATGGCTGAAAATAAGAGAAGCAAGGGAAAGTCAAGGAAGTGCATTACTTTACCATTGCATCCCACATCACAGTGACAAAATGCACACAACTTAGATCCACAAAAGCAGCAAAGCTTACGAAACTGGAGGAGAGCTGAGTCCTACACACTGACTTGGAGATAACAAATCCTGCTGCTAGCTGGTGTATAGGCATAGACTATATCAAGACAGCGAACAGGGAGTAGCAGAACCTGTGCCCCTCCAGAGTGAGGAGTCCTGCTAGTAGAAAAGTATGCAGAGAACGAGGCACCGCAAGGAAAAGCAGCAGTGCTTGTGCTTTGTGCCCTTGGAAAGAGTAGCTCAGCAGATCCAGTATTACCATGGGCACCTCCTAGCAGGCTGATCACACAGACTTCACCTTTCCAGGCTGGGATAACTGAATTCAACAACTGGGAGAAGGTGAGGTTACTTACCTTGTATGGTATCTGGAGTTCTTTCAGATGTTTTGTCGCTATGTTGCTCCACATGAGGAAAGTGAGTGAGTGAGTGAGTGAGTAAGTACACACCACACACACACACACAAGCGCGCCTCGTGTGGAGCGCGCGCGCACACACACACACACACACACACACACACACACACACACACGCACGTACTTTTGACTGGAGATTTTTGTTAGCAGTGTCCATGCCGTTTGTCCCCCCATGCTTTGCCCAGCCACTCCAGTTCCTTCTCAACCTCAGAGCGTGGAAGGACACCAAATTTGAGGGGAAAGGAGGATGAGTGATGGGGCATCCATAGAGACAAAAATATCTTGCAAAACTGCAGTTACTGTACAAGGTAAGTATCCCCTCCTTTGTCTTTGAATTATCATCCCTATGGGTGCTCCATATAAGAAGACTCCATCAGTGCAAAAGAGGGAGTGGATTCTGGTGTCTGCTCTGGACGTATGTGTTAAGACATTGGAGGAGTGGGAAGGGCGCATGGTTGTCTAGTCTGGTGTGAAAGGGGATGGTGGTGTCTCCTCCTCTATTCTCAGCTCCTGTTCCTCTGCAAGGACTTCTTGAGGAGGACATGGAGGGACCTGAGGTGTTGGTGGCTGAAAATCTTATGTGAGGTCAAGGAAAGGGGCACAAGGGTTCCAAAAGTCCCACTGAGGAGGGGAATGAGGAGGAGAAGGAGCAGGGCCCCAGGGGTTTTCCTATTGGCGGATTCCTGGGGTCTTGCCCTTAGGAACACCTCAAAAGGAGAAAGGATGGAATGAGAAGATGGTATAGCCTTTGTATGAATATTTCTGAATCAGAGGAAGTGTCCTCTTCTGTATCCAGTGGTGAAGCTGAGGTCAACAGTACCTTTGTATGAGGATGACTGGGGGTGGGGGTTGCTGGTTCTAGCTGGCACCTGGGTGCAAGTGGGAAAACCTTCCTGGTACGGGAGGGAGAGTCCTCCTCATAGGGGACGGATGTTCCTCCAAAGTCTGAAGGTTCTTGTGTGAGAGGAACCTGGATAATACTAGTGAGCCAGGGGACTGCTACTCCGGGTGAAATACCTCCAGCGGTACTGGGGACAGTACAGATGATCAGTCTGCATGCTCTGTGTGAAGGTAGATGGTACCAGGTGAATAGAAGATGATTTCTTCAAAGAGTCTTTACTCCTTGAGGAGTCCTTCCACTTGGAAGAGTCTGATGCCAGTACTGACTAATCAGTTGTTCAGGGCTGTTCGGCGGTGGCCTACTAGTTACAAGAAGCCTTTCTTGGTGGTGCTGATACCTCAGTACCATGACAGGTAGGAGCCTCAGTGGTATCCACACAAGAATGTGAGGTTTCTTTGTTCCCAGATCTAAGAAGGACCTCTCTTCTCTCTATCAGGGAGACTGGGGTCTCTTATATTTAGAGGTTTTCTGAGAGACTGATGCTGTCCGCTGGCCTCAGCTTGCTGGCGATGGAGGGCTGGGAAGAGTCAGGCCCCCCACAAGTTTAAGGAGGCGCTCCATGAGAAGCTGTTTTAATCAGTCTTCCCTCAGTTTGAGATCTGCTCTTGAAGCTGAGCTTACACTTTGATAGGATGTGAGCCTCTCAAGGCAGTGGAGGAATCTAGAGTGCTTGTCACTGTGGTGAAAGGACCTGTGGCAAATCTGGCAAGGCCTGAATTCTGGGGTCTTGCGTATAACTCACTGGCTGAGAAGGCCCAAGCAAAAAGGGGGGCCCAACCTTAAAGAAAGAGAAAGAAAACACCCCCTTTCCTCTCCCCTCCCCAAAGCACAAACCATGTTAAGTGAAAACATTAAAAGAAATGAAAGGAAAAAAAAACCTGTCAATTAGACAGACACTACAGAACTCAGTCTTGAGCTGCAGGCAGTTGAGAAGGAACTGGAGTGGCACAGGTCCGCTCCTCCCTCTATACATTTTAGGCAAGGTCCAGTTTAGTTACTAGCAACTAAGCTCAATACCACTGTTAAAGCCAATATGCAGAACTTCAAGATAAAATCAAAACATACACCTGTTTGTTTAATATGGCTCCTAAAAATAAGAAGCTAGCAAATTACCTTATTTTACATTCTAACTATAAAACTGCTCTCTACTTTAGTATCTGAATGATTTCCAATAGTGCTTGAGAAATTTAAAACTTTTTCAAAAACATTTTAAAGCAGTTGGGAATTAAAAACCAAAAACCAAACCAACCAAACAAACAAAAAAAAAAATCTAAGCCACAATTCTAGGTCATGATGAAAGACAAACACTACTTTGGCCAAAGGACATTTTGGTCTTATGTTGTGTGTTAAAAAAAAAAGGCGGTGAAGGGGGACATAAAGGATGGTTATGATTCTTTGCCAAATATTTGTGAAATAAGTATTTTAAAAATAAATATAAATCATTTTGTTTGCTGTTTGCATGTTAAAACAGATCTAACTGAAGGCTATTAAGTCTGACAAGGTGGGTGAGGTAATATCTTTTATTGGACCATCTTCTGTTGGTGAGAAAGACAAGCTTTTGAGCATACACATAGCTGATGAAGAGCTCTGAATAAGCTTGAAAGCTTGTCTCAGTCACCAACAGAAGCTGGTCTAATAAAAGATATTACCTCACCCACCTTGTCTCTAATATTCTGGGACCAACACGACTACACCACCACCACCACCACACGACTAGTAAGTCTTTCTTTCAAATATTCTTTGACGAGCAAATGACTTCAACTAGGTTTCAGTAGCTTCAGTCACATGATTTTTACCTGAATGTCCTGTGATATTTCAGCTGTGGGAGGCGGTGGAGATTCTTCACACACAGCAAGGCTCCGAACTAGCTTTAACTTTGTATTTGACTAAAGAAAAGTATTTTTAATTAAAAACTACAGTTAAAAAAACAAATGTACATCAGAATACCTCACACTCAATTAATTGATATTACTCCACTCAATTAACTGCCAAATGAATAACAAATTGGCTGGAATATGCATGTTTAATATTTTAAAATAAAGTCAATCATTTTTGAAAGGGAAAAATAAACAGTCACAGCTTTGAAGTCATCATATCACCACAACAGAATAATTCCAATTAATAAAAAAATATGAAATAAGAGGTGTTGGAAAGGCATTTCCTCTCTCTAGCAATAAGAAGCCACCAAAAATATAAAGGCAAACCACAAAAGCAGACAACTAGGCAAGACAAAAATCCAAAAGCAAAACAAAATCTTTACTGCCAAAAATAAAGGCTATAACTAAACTCAAGCCATTTTTCACAAAGTGACAAGGCTTCATTAAGCATGAAGGACTTCCGTAGCATGCCAGCACACAAGTCTACTGTACCTTGGACCTTTTTCCTGTTTGTCCAAAAGATTGCACTGGCCGCTAAATGGAGGGCACAACAAAAAAAGTTCATATTAAGCTTTATAGTTAGACTGTAGGAGACATTTGTTAATGCAGAAATCTGCAGAGCAGAAAGACAGTAGTTATTTAATAGATTTGATCATCATGTAAGTAAACACACGTGTTTTTAGCCTGACATTTGAGAATTATCCCATTTTCCATGGCAAAAAAACCCAGGCTTCTCATCTTCATTTTGCATCTTGCAAAACATGAGTATGGGGCGGGGGGGAGGGGAGGAGACTTACCAGTTTTGTACAATTGTTTTACTTTATAAAGTCAGGACCAGTTAACAGTCTCCGGAAAGTCCTAAGTTTGTAGTTCTCATGGGGCAATTTCTTTGGCAACATTACAAGAAAGTAGATTTTATAATCCTGCTACTGTTCCCCGAAAACCCACCTGAAGAGCTGTTTATAAGAAGCAGTGCTTTTTTTATAAGGGAAAGGAGTAGGAAATAGCCCACTAACCAAGCAATGTTTCCTCTCCTCCTTTCCTCCTCCCCGAACCCCAGTCAAAAAACCTGACATTTAAAGAAAGAACAATAAAAACATTAATCAATTTTCTATTTTTATATATAAAATAAAATTAACTTACTACGTGTCTCTAGCTATTGTTATGCCTTCTCTCTCTCTCTCTGGCTTAACTCCACCTTTTCTTTATTCTTTCCTGCAATATACAGGGATTACCAAACTTCTTCCACAGTGCGTACTACTCAGGGCTTGTCTACCGATAATTTTTGCATCAATTTATCTATACTGGTTTAGAAACTGATGTAGCTAAATTGGTGCAAATCCCAATGTGGGGTTGCGCAGTTATACAGGTATAAAGGTGCTTATATTGGTATAGTTTATTGCTGTTACTAAACTGATATAGTTAAATTGGTACAAAAACCTGTGTGTAGGCAAGCCTTTGCAGAAATTGTTTTGTGGACTACCTCCTCAACTGCTTATGTGGAAGAGAAATTAGAAGTCACAACATTTTAAAGAAAATACTACAGAACCACTGAATATTGGAGAATAAAGTATTCAGATTTATTTTTATCTCCAACCTACTGTTGTGATGCCATCAGAGTACCTAACTGAGCATCTCTTTGGAATGAGTCTACAAGAGAGGGTAACTTTACTTCATAGACCTAAAAGAAAGGAGTGAGGGTGAAAGAGGTAATTTAAGATAATAGATTTGCTGAAATGGCTCTAATCATATGTACTTGGGCATTCAGCAACAGTAATGTCTGCTCTTCAATTATTTAAAAAAAAAAAAACACTTTTGCAGATCTTATCTTAAAAACATCAATAAACTTCAACCATGATCTCAAAAAAGCTTTCACCTGTGAAGTAGAGTACGTCATAACAAAATAAGGAAGTGTGAAAGACTTATAGTATCTCTGGATAATAAGTGTTATCAAATGTTACTGTCTTTCCCCACCCCCACCAAATTAGGCCTTTGTGTTATATCTGATGAAGGGCTAGTGCCTTAGCCCTGGTCTACACTACGCGTTTAGGTCGAATTTAGCAGCGTTAGATCGATTTAACCCTGCACCCGTCCACACGACAAAGCCATTTTTGTCGACTTAAAGGGCTCTTAAAATCGATTTGTGTACTCCTCCCCGACAAGGGGATTAGCGCTGAAATCAACATCACCAGGTCGAATTTGGGATAGTGTGGATGCAATTCGACAGTATTGGCCTCCAGGAGCTATCCCAGAGTGCTCCATGGTGACCGCTCTAGACAGCACTTTGAACTCAGATGCACTAGCCAGGTATACAGGAAAAGCCCCAGGAACTTTTGAATTTCATTTCCTGTTTGGCCAGCGTAGCAAACTCAGCAGCACTGGTGAGCACGCAGTCCCCCCAGAATGCTTCTACGCTCCCCCTATCATCTCCGTCCTTGAGGTTATCACAGATTAGAAGGTTGGGAGAAAAAACAAACAAACAAAAAACAAAAAAACGCACTTGCGATGACATGTTTTTCAAGCTCATATAGTCCTCCCAATTCACACTTTTCAAACAAACAAGCAAGCAATCAAGCACACGGTCAAACTGACCAACTGTCCCAGCAGCAGACACTCAGATACTCACCAACACAGCCCTTCCTGCAGCAAGTGAGGAAGCTCTTAAGAGGACGGTGATATGGAAGGTGAGCGATCAGCTGTTGTAACCTGCACAGG